CGGTGAGCGCGATATACCGCTTCAGTGCCTGTCAAGGTGAACGTGCCCTCGACCTGCGAGTGCTTTTGCGATATACAAGCTCGCTTCTGTCTTCCTGATTGCTCGGTTTACTGTTTAGAAAACTGTCAAATGGTTGTTTTTAATACGGTATTTATCTGCTGCAAATTGAACCATTCATCTTGCTTGTGCATTGCTACATATCATTGTTGTATTTAGACTTAATACTTTCGTGACTGCATTAATTCATATTCTTGGTTCTTTTGGTAAAGTCACGTAGATAGGAAACAAAAATCTAAATTAAAAGCAAAAAACCCACGACGTTTCGATCGCAACACAAGCGGTCTTCCTCAGGTGGAGAGAAAAAGACCGCTTGTGTTGAGATCGAAACGTCGTGGTTTTTTTGCTTTAGCTTTTAATTTTGATTTTTTTTTCGTTCCTATTTACGTGACTTTACCGAAAGAACCAATAATATATATCATCGTTGTGGTTGTTTTTCTTCAAATGAACAGCTGAAACACAATGGATAACAGGGTGGTGCAATGGTAGCGCCTGTGCCCCACAGCAAGGAGAACATCCGTTAGATTCCTAACTCGGGCATCTTTCCTGTGCGGAGTTTGTATGTTCTCCTCCTGTTCTGGAAGGGTTTCCTCCGGGTTCGAAATTCCTCCCATAGCTACACACAAACACTGTAATTGGTGTCGGTCAAACATCTCAAAGCAGGACCCTCTTGAACAAAAACATTCCTTGAATTCAGTGTGGCTTTCCTGGGTAAAATGTAAATTATTAGTATACCATTAGTATTTTCTTCCAGCTGGCAAACAAAACTATAACTTTAGTGGCTAATGTTATTCATTATTTAAATACGCGATATTAGAGATGTTATAATTGCAAGCATTAAGTGAAAACGCTCGAGTCAATACATGTTTTACAGCACGAACTGGTGTTTGTAAAATAAATAGATATAGGACACAGATTTACTTTCACTCAGAACTGTTGATCACTTGCTCCTGGCCACGTCCCTTCATGCTATGAGAACTCGCTGTGGTTGTTCACTGCTGTAAGCTGTACAAACATCATTGTTCACAGTCCATTGGACAGGGAAGTGTAAGTCAATGAACTTATAAATGTATCATTCCCTTAGCCAACATATTAGTCACTTTGAATACATGTTTTGTACGATTCAATGCAGTCATATTTATGGTTATGTAAAACCTTGGACACTGTCTGAATAGATATTTGCATTGAATTATTTAATGCAAGTTACGTTTACGCTGCATGAACCTACAGTACAATTGTGTGTGTCAATGAATGCCGTGAATTTTGCAGGATTTTGTTTTATCCCTCCCCGTATGTATAGGGAATATGTATGACCATACCATTAAACATTGACTGCGAAGAATAAGTGTTTTTTTTGGTTGAGTTCGTTTATAATTTGTAGACTGACTTATGATTTTTAATGAGTGAACATGCTGAGATGGGTCTGGTTTGAACACAGTAATAAGTTAAAGCAGCAAAAGCCATTTCAAAATGTAATTAGTTGAGAATATATTCTTTGGTTCTCTCGGTAAAGTCACGTATATAGAAAAGGAATCATGTCTGAATTAACCACAATGCTTGTGGTCAGAATGCAAACAAAAAACAAACTCTGATAATACTGTATATGCATTGTCCTTGAAACTGATTGGTCCACACCAGAGACACAGCTTTCTTTTGAGCCTCGTCTCAAACGGTGTTAGACCAGAGGACGCCAAAAGGGCGTACTTGTAAAAGGTTTCAGTTTGGTGTTTTAACATCTTAACACCTGGTTTTTTGCCAGAAAAAAGGGGAAAAACCTATCATCATATTTTGGTACCGGCAAAGGAGGTCCCATGATGTAGCTGGTTCTTAATCAGAGTGAGTGTACTGGCAATCTCTAATGTGGACTGTAGCCTGGTTATTAAGTTTGGTGAGTGTACTGGCAGTCTATAATGTAGACTATAGCAATGGTTATTAAGCTGGGTAAGTGTACTGGCAGTCTATAATGTAGACTGTTGCCTGGTTCTTAACCTTGGTGAGTGTACTGGCAGTCTATAATGTAGACTGTAGCCTGGTTTTTAAGCTGGTGAACGTTTTGGCAACCTATAATATAGACTATAGCAATGGTTATTAAGCTGGGGAGTGTACTGGCAGTCTATAATGCAAACTGTAGCCTGCTTCTTAACCTGAGTGAGCGCACTGGCAGTCTATAATGTAGACTTATTCTGGTTCTTTCACTAATAATAAAATAAAAAAGAAGAATAAAAAATAAAAATAAAAAACAAAAAACCACGACGTTTCGATCGCAACACAAGTAGCCGTCATCAGGAAAAGGGGGGTTAGCCTCTAAAGGCAAACTGTTTATAGAGGTTTAAAGATGGGCGTAGCCCAAGTGTCAGCAACATGGGCGGGGCAGCTAATGTTAATGTAGGAGAACACTCCATCACCGGCAGTAGGTCTACACCAATCAAAGGGCCGCCAGGCAATCATTGCACCTCGCTCCACACACCCACACTGCTGACGGTGGAGGTTGACAAGAAAACACAAATCAAGTCATGACCCAAAGTGGTTGATGACATCTTTCCATTGATTGCTGAGCTTATAACCATCCTCTCGGTTGAAATTGTGTCTGTGTCTGTATATAAGGATGGCTTCATGAACGAATCTTTGTTGACAACCAGTAGGCTTGAAAAGTACCATCGTCTTAGAGAAATCAATTTCGTGTGAGCCAGCCGCATTAAGATATTTTAAGCACTGTAAAATGTCTGCTGTATTAAAATGTGTGCTATATTAATTGTTACAATTTACAACGTGCACAAATATAACTTAAAACTGATATTCTGGAGGCACTATAGCAAAACTAATAATTTTGTTCATATAATTACAATTTTGTTTTATTTTTCACAAAGCAATGCAAAAGCAAATGAATGTTTATGATAGCCGGAATATGCCTACATAATGTATCAATAGTCACAAAACAATTTACTGATACAGATGATATTATTTCAAATCGTGACGAGTACCAATCCAGGGAGAAGGAGCATTGAATTCAGCTTGTGTGCAAGCACTAAGTGGATTACTACTGCTCAGGATTGCCAAGTGGTGGCAGCAGCGTGGGGAGGCCTTCATTCGGGAGTGGATTGATCAGGAACCATGGCTGATGTTGATAATGAGGCAGGAAAAGGGATGATATGAAACCAAAAAAACAGGACGTGATGACAGAAGACCATTTTAACGTGTAAGATGCAGTTGCATTCTGCTGATGTGCATTGCAGAACAATTAAAGTCATCATAATGAGCCATACTTAAATAACACCACCCTGCGTAAGCACGCACCACAGCTGCTATGTATTGGATCATTCGCACGGCTCTGCAATAGACTATGGTCCATTTTTCCATCATGAGCAATACATTAAAATGTTACAAGCAACAAAATAACATCTGACTAGCAAACATATCAAAGCTATCAGCTGAAATGTCTCCATAAGTCCTCAAGCAAATCAAAGAAATACAGTTTCTCCAGTTGGTTAAATTTACAGGGGAAAAAAAAATGCGTATTCAATTTCAGAAACAACTAACACTTTGGTATCACGTCTTCAGATTCAATGCACTGTCTGATATGGGTTTAATAGAACAAAGCTATGCATTGGTTTGGATGTGGAGGTCATTCTTTGAATTTAAAAGGAGGCAAGACAAAAGAGAAATTCTTGTAGAGAGATTACCTGGCTCCTTCCAACACACACCACGTGCCGAGTCCTGCCTGCGCTGATGGCCAACAGAAAGATATTGATTTCTATACTGGATGCTGAATTCCAACTAACTCTCTTTTTTATAATTACGGCCGGCACTTATTTATTTCATTCGCTTCGATCTTTTTTGACAGCGTTAACCCACTTTTTCAAACATCGATTATGTGATGCGTGCACACACACACACAACGCACACAGACCGAGAGCGGACACAGCTGCCACTTTGTTCACATTATGCACTTGATGGTGGTGCACAATCTCAACATATTTACACACCGCGCAGTTAAATTATCAACAGGGCTTAGTGCCGTGCATTATCATGCGTTTCCGTCATGATGCGACGTATACATCTACAGACTGAGCTACTTGATTAAATGGCGTGCGTCAATTTTTGACGAGGGCTTGTGATGGCAGGCATTTTTTATTGGGAATGTTTTATAGATCCATTCAACAACAGAACGTTACATATTTCATTTACTTTGAAGTAATTCAAGTGGCTTAATATCTCATGAGGCAGGTAAGGGGGGAAATTAGCTCCAGACTTGGATTCCAGTCGGGGTAAAAGGGTTGCCTGACAATTAGCTTCTGTCCCAATTACATATAATCATTTTTTAAATGGATCACCGACACATTTTTTTAAAGCCTGGATATACAAAGCTATATTTAGAATATTAGTCTCTCTGGATTAAGAAATTGTTGCAAAATGACATTCGAAAAATAAAGAAGTCCATGTCCACTATGCTGAGTGCATCACCTTTAGAAAATATTAAGACAGTAATAGTAATAAATCCACCTAACTTGTGTAAGTTTAGAGCCGTTGCAGAATTGGCAATGATAATGAGAATGTTAGGGTGCTGGTAACAAAATAAACTCAAGATGGTTGTCCTCATTTTCATTTTAAATGTGTCCCACCTTCAAGTTAATATGAAACTAAACCATACAGTTAAATTTCGATTTAAAGCTTTCGTGACTGCAGGGAGTAATATTACTTCCCTTCTACGTGACTTTACCTAAAGAACCAACGAGATAAACCATACAGCTCTTTGCAATATCAAAACCACTGTAAGCATCTTGCTAGAGGATAACACGGTTGCGCAAGCGACTGAGAAATGAGCACACCTCATGAAATATTGAAGCAAACTTAGACTTGAGCTGCTGCTCCCCTAGGACCTTGACGAAAGTCCCAAGGCACCCGCAGACTGCCGCGCTCATTGCCAAGTGCTGTGGGACACGTACCCATCAAGTAGGTGTTATGGGACGAGTTGATGAAATAGTGAGAGAGCGGCTGCATCATGTCGTCACTCAAGTCGATTTTCTCGGCTGGGATGGCAGAGTTCTCGTCCCCTTGTAGGAACTTGAGGAATCCTCCCACTGAGATGTGGCCTACCACGCACAAACAGAGCAGGGCATGTAAACAAGGGAGCACTGCTGTTCGGGGGGTGGGAACTCACGTCCCGGTCTGTGCTGCCGATCCTGGAACGGCCCAGGGCTGGAAACGAGCCATTGAGCCTGGTTCCCAGTGGTTTGTGGGAATGTGGATAATGTGGAACTACACACATGCATACCTCTCTGTCAGTGAAGGTCTAAACTAAAACAATTTTTTTAATTTTATCAGGTAAGGCCCATTTAACTATCTTTTTTCAGAAGTGACCTGGCCACAAATAATAGCTCAACGAAGTTGCTGATCATGTGGAAATGTACAGCAGCCAAATACTCTAAACCACATGCTTATAAAGGTACAACCCTGCAGTTGTTTGCTCAAGCCACTGTTGGCAGAAGGGTGAGAGGGAGCCCTAGAGAGTCCCTCTAAAGTCTAGAGGGTATTTTGGCCTACTCTTCGGTACTGGTCAACCTGCTGATTGACTAACTGTGGTGCAACCTAGCTGCGGTCTTCTGAATATCTGTGAAACTACTGGATATTTGTGGAAAAAAAGCTTAATAGCTCATCGGATTCCTCAAGAATAATTAAATAGTCTGATTATGATTCTGAAAATAGATAAAAATGATGATTCTGCACCCATTTGTACCGCTGGGTGGATAGAGAGAGCGTGGTTTAAGAAACCTGCCCATTGTTTCAACTGCCATGCCGGGAGGTCAAACTGGTGACCAGTGGATTACAAGTCCAGTTTGCAAACCATTACACCATGGCAGCGTCCCATAAAACAAAAGAAGACATTTGAAATGAGATGCAAGAATGTTAAAACACTCAGAGGATGGCAGATACATTAAGTCATCATCTCATGCACTGCTCAATGCTGGCATGACCTGTGAACCAGCAAGTCTGAAATGGGCTTTGTAGGCAACTGCTGAAGACCATCATTAGCAGGAAGTGTTACTACCTAGGCCACATTGCCCGAAACGACCACAAATACCAGCTATTAAAGCAAATCCTGGAAGGAAAAATCGAAGGGAAAAAACGACCAGGACGGCCAAAAACGACATGGCTCAGTAACATCAAAACATTGCTACAATTAACAACAGCACAAACTCTACACGCCGTGCTAGACCGGGACCAATATCATCGTGAAGTCGCACACGCCGTTAGGCAGCACTAAAGAAGAAGAAGAAGAATAAACCTGTTGGTGGTATCTCTTATAAATGTGTAAATACAATACTCCCCTTGTGAATTTACTCGCGGTTCACATTCGTGAACGTGAAGGAGTGAATAGAATGTTCAACCATAAAAGCTTAGTTCTTCCGATATCTACAAAGATGACAGACAAAATGTCCACAATGTGTCTCACGTTAATAATAATCAACATGCAAAAGCTAAACATTGCGTGTCAAATTATCATATAATGCAATGATTTTAGCTACATATTTACTTTAAGAGTACTGCAATAGTCACCGTGTCATATATATAGCATGCCATAGCTATAAAATGTAGTTTATTTTTTAATATATAATGTACAAAAACTGAAATAATACAAATCTGACTTCATGGTAAAAATGAGGCCAACATTTTTTCTAATAATTGTAACCTGGTTGCTACGTGTATTCATACTAGTTGACTCAAACTTTTCTGAGCATAAAGCAATCAGAATAATGATAACAAAATATTTTTGGAATGACTAGCCAACATAACATGGAATGCCTTAATGTAATTCGCAAACGGTGGCTTATCTGGTAGTGTCACCTGGATTTCATAGAACCCATATATCCCATTTTACTTGAAAAACCCTGCAATTTTTCACCAATGCATAATTGCTTCAGCAATGTAAAGTAAAACATAACCATGCAAGAAACCTATTTTTAAACCCATATAGGACATACTCTGTAATCCAGAAATGCCTCAGTAATAATAAGCGTGGTGTTTATTGGATTCTTTATTACCTTAAACGACAGGATATGTCTACCAGAAGGATTGTGCAAATGGAGTGCATGTATATTTCATTTGATTGCTGCTCCAATTCACTGCAAGAATAAACATGTGAGTTCTTTCTGCTTACAAGGACAAGGTTAACAGCTTTGTCAAGCTAATGGATAAATACCCCTCGGGCAATTGGTAAGCCGACTGCAGGGCCTTGGCAGGCTCCATTGATCAGGGAAAACAGAAACATTGTCAACGTAGATATTGCCAAGAGTGTGAGAAAATTTACGATTCAGCAGATGTTTGTCTCATAACCAACGAACCAACAAAAAACATATTGTAGTGCGAAAGGTTCGCAACACTCCTGTGAAATGTGGGACTGAAGGTATCATGATTAGTTGGATGCTGTAGTCAACATTTTGCCATTACAACAATGCACGTTACAATGCACGCTGTGTTGTGAACAGTTCTGAACAAAAGCCACAAACTGTGCAACATGCACAAGTATCGGCCAAAAATATGAATAACATTAAATGTGACGTTTGCTCTTGCTTGCTAGATCTGTGCACTCTGCAGCTTTGAGGGTGATCTGGAAAGCCCATCTAGGGGATACGTTGAAAGAGGCGGTAATACTTGCACTTTGCCTCCACCACATGCTAACTTGCCAATCGAATCTACTGCGGTGTATCTATTAATACTGCTGGGCGTACAGAAGTGGGGATATTTAAGAAACATGCCCATCGTTACAACTGCTGTGCCAGTAAATAGAAGCGGTGACCTCTGGATTGCAAGTCCAGTGTGCGCTAACCATTACACCATGGCAGCATCCCATGAAACCTTCATTATACCTTGAATAAACGTGGCCATAAATTGTAGTGCAAATGGCCGAATTATAGCATGAAAGGACAGTCCTATTACAGAAAGAGAGTAATTTTATTTACAGGTAATATATGTGTATCATATAAAATGCACACAGCTATATACATGGAATAACAATGAAAATAATGACATACATCTGGACAGAAGATGGCTCTGCTCTGGAGAAATATTGATTTGATGGAGAACAAAGTGGAACAAATTTTTCCGAAGTCACGTAAACATCGTCTTTTGATAATGGGAATCTGGACGAAGAGGTTAAAGAACCAAAACAGCGTGAACACGGTCTTTGCTAATGGGAATTAGTGCGAAGGGATAGATTGGTGTTCAAGTGAATTAAAGCAAGGAGGTTAGGGAGAAGGAGTTGGCTCCCACCTTTTTTTGCCAGGCTGGCGTCGGGCTCGTACTTCTCTATCATGAGCTGAACCTGCGACGGCTTGAGCGGAGGGTAGAGGATCTCGTTGAGGCGGGGGTCACGCTGACAGTTGTTGATGAATTCTGTGAACTGGTCCACTGTCAAGTACGGACGGCTGCGTGCCCCCCTGCCAACGGACGTAAGTGGAGGAGGTAAGTCATTTTAGAGGGAGGGGGGAGGAGTATCTCAGGATTGGACAGGAGGTGAGGCATCTTGAGTAATGGACCTGCAGTTTGCAGGTCGTAGATATAACCTGTAGGGATTTGTGTGCAAATTGGTGAAATAAACTGACACAATCTATCACAGAAGAACCCCCCGGCCCACTTTGTCGCATATACAAACATGTGCATAGTGCATGCTGTGTGTCTACAATATTTATAGATGTGAAGTACATTAGGGCTAAACATGCACACTAATGAAGAAATTGAAAATGTCTCCTGGGCAAAATAAGAGTACTGTATTATATTTGTTCAACTCAGATGAAACCCTTGAGATTCATATTTCCAGTGAGGTTCTGGCAAGAACGCAGCAGTATTATATCAATTCCTCAGTAAACATAGCCAATCAATACTCCGTGGTGACGAGATGTTAATTACCTCGCCTGGTATAAAGGAGGTCTATTTATTTGGAGTTTGCATGTACTCCCCATGGTCACGAGGATTTTTATCTGGGTCCTCCAATTTTTCCTCCACATTTATAAACATGCTTTTAGAGAATTTGGCTGCTAAACAGTCCACTAAGTTCAGCAATTATTTGTGGCCAAGTCACTTCTGAAAAAAATCTAGAAAGCTAAGTGGGCCTTACCTAGTAAAATAAAAATAGTAGTAGTAATCCACAACACATAGATTATCAAAATACCATGAACAAAAATGCTATAAAATCTACAATATGAAATGTAATAAAACTATTATAAATTACAATGCATGGATGAAAGTGACCAAATGGCGAAGCATTAATTACTTATCAGTTAAATTATTATATCTACAAAATCCATTGCAATGGAACATCTCAATTTGGTGTCCAAAATAATGTAAGACTGCGCTGTAATGTTTCACCGTTGTTTAAAGTAAAACCTAATTCAATCAGCCTCATGCTAGGATATGACCAATTCCAGTCGATCGTACTACTCAGGAGGGGAAATCGTTGCAGCCCCAAAACAAAGGTACCATCACGTGCGGCAGATATCACGGACCTGATGGCATGCGATGACGTTAGGCGAACCAGGTGACAACAGAAATGTGTATAACATTTGCCGTGTATACCTTGACGAATACAAACTGGCCAGCAGAATCTACGATGACATTTCAAATTCACCCAGGAGAGGCCTGAATACAAGTTGCAATTATGTTCTCGAAATGGGCAACCAGGCACAATCATTGTTTTGTTCAGCAAAAACATATCAACCAGAGCTGCCTTTAAAAGTGCCAAATGCAACAGAGGAAAGGTAACACTGTTCAAGGTAAACGTGCAGCCCTGCAATTCCCTGCTCATGCCACTGCTGGCAGAAGGGCCTCTGCTTGCAGGAGCTGCACAGAGCACGTCTGGAACATAGTTTGGCCTACTCTTCCATGCTGGCCATACGTTTTTGGAAGAGATTGGAGAACCCACACTTTACCTCACCATATGTGACTTGCTAATCGAGTGTGGTGTACCAATTTACACTGCTGGACAGACAGGCGGAGGGAATTGTGGAAATTTGCCCAATGGTTTCAAGTGCCGCACCAGGAGGTCGAACTGGTAACTTCTGGATTGTCAGTGAAGTGTGCTGACCAGTACATCACGGTAGCATCGACATCACAGTGAAGGTTGATGTATGTTCCTTACTGGGGTTAATAGAAGTGGAGCAAAGGTTAATTGGAGAGTGACTTTGATGGGAAAACAGTTCATAGAATACATGCAACCCTCCGGCCAAATTCCCATAGGACTCTGCTGTCATTGAAAGTAATTTTAATATCGTTCAAATGTCATTTCAGAATTAAATACCTTTTCGAAAAGTTACCTACATTGTTAATCGCATATTTAAAACTGAAATATAGGTTTGTACAAATATGTTATTGCAAAGGCGATCGGTACTTTTAGCCATCAATATTTGGCACATTGGTATATTCCGCTTTATTAAATAAAAATGGTCAAATTCACTCCCACCTGCTCTCGTCTGTTTCTTTATTTCATCATATTGATCCCATTCCACCTTCAATAACTGCCCTAGATATATACTGACATATATAAATACTCTGTTGTGTTTTCCAGTCGTGTCTCTCCAACAGTTATTTTTGCTGTTCGGCTTGTGACTTTTATTTTGGTCCTATATCTCTCGAGCCCCACATTGCAACCTTCTTCATAAGTTCTTCGATAATTTATTGTAGTTCATTTCCATTGCTGTATTGGGGAACACATTTTTTATAACGCAGATGCGAATTGGATTTAATGCGATTGAGTGACCCGAACTACGTCGCGCGAGTAGTAATAAGCGTAGATTTGAAGCTTTCGTGACTGCAAGGATTCATATTCTTAGGTTTTTTTCGGTAAAGTCACGTAGGTAAAAAAATGAAAATTAATCATTAATAAAAGTACAGCTATCGTGCTGTGACGGTTCCACCTGAAGATAGACGCTTGTGTTGCCTCCGAAACGTCGTGATTTTTATTTTATTTTTATTAATTTAAATTTTTTACCTATGTGACTTTACCGAAAAAACCTAAGAATAGTAATAAGCGGTTGTAGGGTTGCCTCGGCGGAGCATCACACGAGGCCTTGGGATGCTGCTGGATGCTTCTAGATGCTGCCCACGTGCCTCAGTCTTTGTGCAGCCTGCATATGCATCTGACGAGTTATTGCGAACTGTCCTTTACCCTATATTATATATTAATAATTATGGCGCGAGTTTTCCATAACGCTGTGTTTTTCAGGAACGCAACTACCATGCTATAGGAGAACAGGTTGTATCAATATTTATGCTTATGCCTTTATATGTCTACAATCTAGTTGTTGAGAGATATCTTGCAATTTCACCTTGAATAGCCTTGATTAGGAGCATTGTCTAACTCCTGATTTATATTGTGTGGCATCATGTTGACTGTCACGGGTGGCGACAAAGTTGGAAAGCCTTCACGAAGCAGTGGATAGATCATGGCTGATGAAAATTAATATATACTTATGTTAAAATGAAGTAGATTTCCAAGGAAAAAATACATACATAAAAAAAATTCCCAAGTAAAAACAACGGTGTTTTGCATCTACAAACACCTGCTTTCAATAAATTATATTTCCTATGAAGATGAACCAAGGGGTAATGAAAATATGAAAATGTTGGGTTTACTACTTCAGAATTTTCCTCAAATTAAAGATGAGCCATATTTCATGGTCAGTGTGTGGAATTTAATCTCGGTTGGCACAGGTGGCCTCAGTAATTCTCTCTCTAAATCTGGAGCATCTATAGCAGCTGTGCGATGCCGCGTACATTCAGTGCTCTTGTACACTGTCCTCGAATTGAGGCTTCCTTCTCAACCTGCGGGTTGCAGGCTGTGGCGTGGATACCGTGCAGGAGAAATAAAAAATGTGTGCGGAGAGCACAAAAAACACTAATTTCGCAACATGAAGCAAGTGCCTAACACCACGTTGACGAGAGGCGTAGAGATGTGATCTTTCTTTGCATTGTGGCCTCAAGTCACCCCGGCGGGGTGGTGTGAAAGACCAATCAGTTTCAAAGATAATGCATACATTATGTGAGCATGTTTGTTTGCATGTTTTGCCACAAGTATGCGTGATTAATGCAGACTTGATGCCTTGCAAAATGTATCTATTTAGTGTTGGAATAGCTTAACACCTGTTTTATTGCCAGAAAGGGCAAAACCTGTTATTATTTTGATATTGGAAAAAAAACGTCCCATAGATAAAACAAGGAAAATGACGATTTTGGTTTAATATGGATAATCTGTTTGCAATTTGGGTTGTCATCCATCGGCACCCGATGGGAGTATCATTCATCGTATGAACAATATTGCTTTGCTCTGATGGATTGGTCACGTGTGTGTGTGTGTGTGTGAAGAACCAAGCAAAACAATGTCAGTGATGGGCTATTGAGTGACAAACATTTAATGGACTGGTATATAAGTCTTGTCTTGTATCAACGCAATCCAAAAGTCGATTCCAATCTACGCTCCTGCTACTTTCGTCAGCCTTTCCTTTGAGCGGTCTCTGATGAGCGTCTCATTATAGACACGCCAAGTATATATAAGCAGATCAAATTAATTTAATGAGGTGAATGATCAGAGGTATTAATGAGAGACACCTAAACCGTAGTTACACAGGTAAACCCATTTCGCTGAACAAATAAAAACACTGACAGTGATGAACTTTACATCGCATCTGCTTCGAGATCTGTAAAGCTATAGTTTCATGTTCTTTAGTTATTTTAGTTTGTACTGAGTGCCACTGTTCATCAGGTATGTACTGGTGCATGAATTCATCATTGTAATATATTCTTACACTCAAGACACAGACGAGCGTGGAATTTGTGTACGTCAGAATTGATTATTTATGTTTGCAAATCACATCTAATGATATGCTCATGGTGAATTTAAGCTAATGAGAAGGAAAAAAATGACAAAAAGAATCAATAATTGATTCAAATCATTGCATTCATATCTGACAATGTCTAATCTTGGTGGGGAGAGGGGGGGACAACAGCGGGGAGTGGATAGCAATCATTACAAGTTTACTGATTACTTATAACGTCGGAACAGGGATGTCTAAACAACAGGAGCCAACGATGGAAATGCAAACGCAAAGCACGCAGTGTTGATGACCGTGAAAATATGTACTTACACTTCAGCAAATATCCCATCAATCTCAGGCCTAGGGCAAATGCTTTTGATGAAAAGTCTGAACACATCGGGTCCAAACTCTGTCGGGTTGATGGCATCATTCTGCATGAACAAACGGCAAGCCATGCTGTTTTAAAATACAAACCTCATAATACAACCTTGCAGCTACGATGAATAAAACATAGTGAAGCCTTAATTAATATGTAAGTGAATGTCATTCTTAACATTTGATATTGCTTGAAGGGATATCAGATGAATTATATATGTTCTTAATTTTCTGGGATCAACAAAATATGAAGGTCCCATGCTATACATAATTAAATTGTTTGAGATATTATTTATTTTTAAATCAATGAAAGAGTAGTATATATTAAATTATATCTAAAGCCCAATTAGTGCTATTATGCAGGAAAAGGAAAAACCATTCACGATAAATATTTGATGAGAGCCTCTCCAATAGACATGAAACGTAATAACACACACGTACATTTGCTGAGAATATAAATATTTTAATAAATGGGATTGCTATAATTGGAAGCTACTAAGCAGCAAAAACATTTATACATTGTATGAATATTACAAGTTCACCCCAACATTGTTGATGTTATAACATCTTCCAAACTCGAATGTCACTTGTGGGTACAGCGGGTGGCGCATCGGTTAGCGCAGCGCACTCCGAGCCCAGCAATTAATTTTTTGCAAGCGGCTGTAAATCAAGTTCACCGCCACCCCCCTCACGATAACCTTTCGCCGGTGTGCGACCCCACCACCCCACCATCCCGTACCCTGCCGTTCGGCAGTCCGCAGCTCTCCAGCGCCGTTTCCACCCGCCTGCGGTCTGCTGCGAATAGCCGGCAAATGCTGCACGCAGTGGGTGGGCGGGTGGAGTGGGTTCGCAGCAGAGGCAGCAACGGTTTTATTAGAGATATGAGGGGGGGGGGGGAGATTGAAGCAATGCACAGGATAGGTGTTTCAGGCATAATGAGGGCATGTTAAGTGTCACACGACGTGTCGGTGGGTTTTCGGGGTAGAGTGCGGCACAGAGTGGGAATGAAAAAAATAGGTCAGGAGATAGGGGTTTGTGTGTATAGGAATTAGGGGGTAAAGCAAGAGAGGTTAAGAGATGGACAATAGAAGGCAGAGATTGGCATGTATGTTGTGGACATTAGGGTGAAATAGTTAATGGGGTTAAGGTGTTAGTAGGTAAAGAGCAGAAGGCATAAGTGATGGATAGAGAAAAGAAAATAACTTTTTAGGGAAGTGGGGTAGAGGAAGAGAGTTACAGAAGCAGGAAATGTGGGATGTGAGTATTTAACAAAGAGACGGTAAAATCAGAGAAGATAGTTGTTCATGTTGAATACAGAAAGGAACAAAAATGTATGGGATGGGAGTTTAGCAGCACCGGTAATGAGAGGATAACAATGATCAAATAAACATATTCACGTGACTATACCGACTCAAACACAGGCACACACGGTTGCATTCCTGTACCGACATTTATCAACGTAGGCACTGACGGCCAAGTCAGCCGTTGACTCTTGCCAATATTCCATGTGATGCTCCAATATCAGATGTGTAAATCGTGGTGTTTATTTGTACACAGCATGTCACAATCACTGCACAACTTGACTCCCAGTGTTTTTAAAATGCTGCATTTCTAACGTAACACTAAATTGCACCGTTGCGGCGATGGCCAACAAAAAGCCAAAAACTGTTCTTCACGTTGCCATGTTGAGAGAGTAAACTTCGGAAGTTGTGCAGAATGTTTAAAGTTGAATGGGGCCCCATGTGAGACAAAAGTTTGGAAGTTGGGTCCCCAGACCACTTCAAAAGCTTTCAGTGACCGTGGAAGGGATTTAAAATCCGGAAGCGACATTTCTCTGCCAGCAAAGATCAAGGATAAACCCTGCTGATACCTTCTGTTGAGCAGGAAAACCTTTCACTGTTAACTCTGGCAAGTGTGGAACATTCGGATTCATCCATAAATTAATAAGGCAAGTTTATGCAATTATTTTACACCAAACTAAACTTCAATAACAGAAACAAATTGGAGTCACACAGAGTCTAAATGCAAGCCCATCTCAAGACGCTGCACAGAAACAGTGGCACATGGGCATCTTGGGAAAAAGGAAGCATATCTATTTATAAGAAAAAGATAGTCGACCATAACAGTATTGTAATAAGATTTCACGATATCTCAGCCGAGTTTCATTGTGTGACGGCAGGAAGCAGCGCTTCTCTCATATCCTCAGAAGAAAAGGATTGGATCTCTCAGCCGGTCGGGCAACACACGTGCATCCGTGACTTTGTGAGCTCACAGCCACCGCCAAAGCCAGCTAAGGTCACCTCTCAGCTGCGACTGGTGAAACGAACACCGCCTGCTGAGCAACCACCTAGCACAAAGTCAGCGCCAGGTCATCCTCGGGGTATCCCGGTGGCCGCCACAGGCATGTGGAATATTCAGGAACGACTCAAGAGGAGCAATGGAGATGTGCGCTGCCTTCTGCCCATAAGAGCATAAGGCAGCGCTGCCTTGATTAGCTGCATTAATAGCACACGCAGAAGCCAAACTGCTTGTGTCTCTGACCTATGACTGTCTGTCGATGAAGTTTCTTCCCTTGAACTTTCCACAATGTCATCTCAACTCGCTCTCCGGCCTAACGCACCCAACTCTTACTCCTCAACTTGCCGTAAAAAAAACACCTAGAAAGCCCACTTCTTCAATCAGTCAAGTTGTGCACGTTTTCCTCCTAAGTGTTCGTCTCTTTGATATGTGTTCACATTTAGACGCAGTGCAAATCCATTTTTATTATCATGTTGTAATCTATATTGTATGTTTGTTGCAATTGTTTGACAGACTGAAGGCAAAGCTTCATTTTGCATGTTTACAATATAGCTATAGCAGGCATGGAACAGTCGCCACATAACGATTGTGATTATTGTACAGGAAAATGCATCTATTACATAAACGTATGAAACTGAAAAGGGGCAAACAGAGCTCACTTCTTAACTGGAATCTTCGAATCTTGGTTCAGCTGTAGAGTCAGCTTTGTATACCTGGGGAGAAAAATAATGCACTGGATGAAACGTGTTAAATGTTTGACTTGAGTTAGTTCTTTATCCATCATAACATGCATTTATATTTACTTTCAGCTGGAACTATTCTTCATTGCTATGAGTTAATTACAGTCAGTGAAAAGCTGAAATATTACCATTAAAATGGTTGTCATGTTTGAAAAACCAAACACGAATAGTATATGCAAATGAAATATGTATATTGTAAATTAAATAAAAATACAAACATCACATAGGGGTGTATGTAGGCCAACAAGGCAGCAATTGTGAATGAGTACAAAGGTAAATGCCCATCCCTGCACTGCCTTGTTTCCCACCACTGCTGGTGGGAAGGACTCCACGAGAGGGCATTTGGCTTTCTCTTCCATGCTGACCAGGCATCAATGAATAAGGGGGAGTACCCACACTTTGCCCCACCGCACGTGATCTGCAGATCGACTAACTGTGCCATACCCATTCATTCTGCTGGACGGACACAAATGTGGGGGGAATTTAAGAAACTCGCAGCATTCGTTCAATGGGAGAACACAACGGCGACAACTGGATGGAGAGTCTCGTGTGCGCGTAACCGTTACGCAGTGGCAGGATCGCCAAATTGTGAATTATTTTGCCGTAATACATCAGCTCAAAAGCCAAAGTGAAATTGCAGTTGTGCAAAACTGTCTCACAGTTTATCCAGAAAGATGTCCCGGGAGGAGTTGTGGTAGAGGAGATTTGAAGCGAGTTGAAAGATTCCTGTCGCCCACTCCTGGGAGATTCACAACAGAGGGAGACGTGACATGGAAACTATCACTTGCAGCAAGCGTCCCCTGGCTCCCATCACACATGTGCGTGATCAACGCTAGGTCTTAAAAGTGTCTGATTATACACGCATGCCCGTAGATAAATAAACATTTTTTATGAATGTGGATTAAATTTTTTTTATCCCCCACAATTTACAATCATGATGTTCCATATGAACCGGTGATGTGCACCATTGATTTATGCATTTGGCTGCACCATTGTGATGTTCCAGTTCAATGCCTATGGCCGTCATCTTCCCGTTCTTGACGCTATGTAAATGGATTTGACATATGAACGGGCACTGGGTAAGTTATAGATTTTAAAACGTTTTTGTACGTGTCTTGACGTTTTTTCGACTTCGTGAAACTTGACATATATGTGGCAAATGAGATGTTACATCTCATAGGATTTTCCAGGTAAACTCTTTTTCATACAATTAAAATCATGAAACATGAGCAATATTAAATGAGAAAGTTTGGATGCTTTGCACGTGAAGTGTTCTGTTAGAAAATGGACAAACCAGATGGTGGTTAATCGAGTTGCGTAACAAAATTATGAGACTCGCACAAAAGTGCGGGCAGGAAAAGTCTAAATCTTGTTCTAAGTTTCATTGTGCCTTTATCCTCACTCCACCCCCCACTGGCAAAGTTGGGTTTGAAACAATGCCAATGTAAATCCCTTGAGCTGTGAAATGTTTTGTGTAGACACTTTTATTTCTGGGTGTAACGTTCTTCCTGGTCCCGGGGTTAAGTTCACACAGCAAACCCTATTGAATGTCTGGTTTATATTTTAGAATAAAATAACACTGCTTCCTTCCTGAAAGCTATTGTTATAATAGACACAGCCCTTAAAACAAACAGTGGGACATCGGTTGGACCAACTTTTTTTTTTAAACTCCATCAAACTCCGATTTGACATCAGACCAAGGAAGAGTACCTGTTCTGTTGTGTGTGAGAGCGAGATATGTCAAGATGCAAAGATTTGTGACATATTGTAAAGTACAATGCTCCAAGGTGTTGATTTTGAATAATGTACAAATGTCAAAAATTGAAGAGATTGTGGTATTGACTGGAAATATATAAATAAAGATCACAACTGTCAGTTAAATCCACTTATAACACTACCATCTTACACTTCAATCAGCATTGTTTAAAAGCTTTAGGCATCATACACAACCTCCATACAACGTCGAGACACAGCTGACAGGCAGAAAGCCTCGAAATCCTCACGACGAACATAGGGAGAGAATTTTTTTTATTTCCAAAACCCGTTTTAAAACCCAGCAAAGATAAGGGTGCAGCCTGACAATTACTTGGTCATGCCACGACTGGCAAAAAAAGCCTCCACTAGATTGTGGTCCAGTGGGAATACCCACACTTTACACCACGACACGTGATCTGCTGATCGACTAACTGTGGCGGACCCCGTTGTACTGCTGGATCGACAGAGGCAGATGGGGGCTGGGGGTTTAAGAAACTTTCCCGATGTGTAAACAGAATCAGAATCTTTATTTATCCAGGAGGAATCTGATGAGCTATGAAGCTCTTTTTCACAGACGTCCAGTCGGCGGCGGGTCAGAAAGTTACAACAATAATCAGGATTCATCTTCTTGGTTCTTTCGGTAAAGTCACGTAGAATGGAAATAATTAAATAATAAACATTAAACATAATAAAATAATTCGCACAACGTTCATTTCCATTCTACGTGACTTTACTGAAAGAACCAAGAAGATGAATCCCTGCAGTCACGAAAGCTTTAAATCGAAAAACAATCAGGATCACAATCTTTATTTTTCCATCACCACCGGAAGATCAAATCAAGCCGGCAACCTTTGGATCGCAAGTCCCGTGCGCTGTGAACCACATTTCTGTGCAGAGTACATTTGGAAGAAAAGAGACAAGTTGATGTGAAGTACAGCGAACTTGACAATGGAAGAGTATATTCTCTTTGTTCTATTCTAAGTTTAGATGCATCGACAGAGGCGGGATGTTATTATAGCTGAGAAATGTTCTTATGGCTGACGGGTGCTCATAGCTGGGGGTATGTTCTTTTAGCCACGGAGGTTTAAGTATAGTGCAGGGCAGTGTTGCTGTCCTCTTTTCTGATCTATAAATATAATTGGTACGCTGTGAGACATTCAAATTCTGCGGCTTAAAAAGCCTAATGCTTTGGGCTCAAGGAAATTAGTAGCTTTTATTAGGATTTACACAAACGTTGAAATATATATCGACGTGCAGATTTGTCGTTGCAAAATGTGACGAAAATTAATTTAGGTTCATGTAGAATCGTCTTCATAGAGGTCACTGGCATAATAATGCGTGATCAATAAACAAAGAAAAAACTATTTAATGCTGTTCTTTGAATGTGATTTGAACCATCATTTGCAGTCAATAAATCTAATTTTGAACAGGCAGCCATATACATCCATCAGGTATTTTCCACAGTGCATTCTATGAATATGAAAGCGTGCATATAAATAAAATAAATTTCTAGTCTCTGGCATTTAGCTTGTCTGCTGTAATCACTCACCCCCTCCATTTATTATTTATACCCATTATCCTAGGTTGTCCGTTATGTCAGATTATACCGGTGTTTAACCCATGGAGCAAACTGAACACAGTACCGGAGGCTTATTTGTCTGTCGTTCCGTATCTTACCTTGGCAATCTCTTCAGAGAAGGCCACAAAGTTTAGGAAAGTGAGGTTCACGAAGTCTGATCCAAACACCACGGTCACCGTCTTTTGCTCCAGTCGGCCCTCTCCATTCCCGCTCTCGAAGACGTCACGCAGCTTGCCGTCCTGCACACAGAAGAGGAACGATGGCACGTCCGTCTTAGTGTTCCTCACGGTACATCACAACGGTGGCGGTCAATATGAAAACCGTGGCATTCCATCATGGGCAGTCTGCGTCAACACAACCTGGGTGGTAGGATGCCTCCTCACACCGTAAGCACCTTTCCCTAAAAGCTGCACCCTGAGGTCTCAAGAGAAATTGGAAACTACGTCGCCACCAACACCGGCTATCAAATCGGTATGTAAAATAAAAACTTTCAACTTGACCTTTTAGGCAGACACAATAAATAATTATTTCAAGGGACGCATCGCGCTGATTGAACAACAGCTTGTCTCGATCGCATTCGGCACTGTCAAAGAGTAAAGGGCATTGCGAAATGTTTCACTATATTTATCCAACGTCTTCGGAAGTCTAACTGATATTGGAGATCATTGACCTGTAAATAACATATTACTTTCACAGCGAATTCCTACTTCAACATTGCTTCAGTGAACTACGCTTTAGATAACTACACAGTGCATATAAATCAGAAAGGCAATGCTTTCCAGATTTATAGCCACGGTCTATTAGTTGTCTTTGTGAGGCCTGAGTTGTGTAATAGTTGGCAAGGGGGTATATTCCCTTATTGTATTACTCATGTCAGCTTTGCACACAGGGACACAACCGCAAACGGCTTCGAGATGTGGCACAAAAGCATTGCACACGTGAGCCACAGAGCCTCCCAGCACAGGGCACGTATGTCAATGCCAAAACAACAATAAGACAGAGACAGAGGCAGTGAGTGGCATTCACAGACAAAAGCTCGTAACACGTCAATAACCCTTTCAGTCCAAATTAGAAAGAAAAAACCCACAACAAACCACAAAGGGGTTTGCTTACATTTTGTTAATTTAATTACACCACCTCCTCTCTCGGTCATAATATTACAGAAACTGGTATTGTGGCCTCAGGTCAGCTGCCTTACGAATTGAAAGTGATGTCTTTTTTGGTCACGTTCTCGTCTAAATACACTTGTCGTGAGACACTGCACTCACATTAAACACGGGTTCTCTTTTTCTAAGTGACGATTCGGAAGGAAGATAAGTACTCTTGAAAGTGTTGAAAATAGCATTCCCTGCAAGCCGCACATTGGACTGTGTAATTCAAATGTGCGTCCTTTATTCCCTTCCGTATTGAGAAAACACAAACACAAAGGCTAAGAATCTATTCCTTTGACAAAAGCACACAATTCAGGAGTGAAGAAGAGTAGAATTACGATCCATAATACATGCAGAGTTATTACGCTTTGTGCCAGAACTATTTTTGGAACTATTAACGCTGGTGAACATTTTGAAAATGGCATTTATTTACATATAAAAAAAATAACGTGCACACCCAGCAAGTGCAGTGACAAGTATTGCATCGTGTGTATTTCGTCTTAACTGCAGTTGGCCTGGACGAAAATTGAAATCCACAGAAGTGAAAATAATGCAGGTATTTGCATATGTGATCGATCATCATTCCAAACGCTGACATAACAACTTTATAAATGGAGAACCTCATTCAACATTGCTGTGATTGTCAGGTCACAATCACAGGAAATTAGTCACATAACCCGTTTTACAAAATGACTTGCATCGCACATACTAGAGAAGAACAGATTACAGGGCTGGATATTCCTGTAATATGCGTGCTGAAAATAGTGTAATAATAAACAATACACGTTTAGGTCTTTGTAGAAGCACTGCATGATGAAGGCCTCCCCCACAGCATGTGAAGTTCATGGCGGTTGTTTGACCATACTTCACTGCGCTGGCCATTAAGGGTTGGTGAATGGGATACCAAGACTAGTTAAGCTATCACTCGCTCGCCACTGATGTTAGCTGTGGTCAGGAATCAAACTTAGGTCGCCGGAATCATAGTGCAGTGTGCTACCCACTGCACCACCGCTCTACCCCATACATAACTAACCGTGAATAAACCACATGAAAACGTATATACTAAAAGCTTGTCTGAAATAAAATACTGATAGTGTATGATGTGCTAGCTCTCGGCTGACACAATACCTATGGAATAAAACAAGTAAACCCGTAAAAACAAAGTTTTTCACTCTAAATCCTTTATATGCGTGGTGGCTAGAGTTCTCTCGTCCTCTGGCTTGAGATGGCTGCAATCTATGGGTCAGATGATTGTCTGCCAGTATTAAGCAATTGGTAATTAAATATTTAATTTGTTTTCCCTAAACAGTGTAAAATTTTTGAATTTCACGAAAATTAATTGTCACACACAACGAGTCTGTGTGGAAAATGTCAGCTCGATTGGATCACGGGAAGTGGGTTAAAAAACGAGCGAAAGATTTGCACGGTCCTAAGCAAGCAAGCGAACTTAATATAAAGGATTTAAAAATATATTCGCCTGTGGAGGACGCGGAGATTGATCCCGCGACCTTTGGCATGGGAAGCAAGGGCGCTACCAACTGCGCTACTCCACCACGGCCTGTGGAGGGGTTACGCTCTGGGCTCTTACACTCTGACGTTCAGCCAAAGCTATGAATGCGTTCTATTTGAATATATGTAAAATAAAAAAATTTTGCCTAAAAAGTGTAAAATTTTGGGAATTTTTTTTCACGAACAATAATTGTCTGGCACAACGAGTCTGTGTGGAAAATGTCAGCTCGATTGGATCACGGGAAGTGGGTTAAAAAACGACCAAAAGATTTGCACGGTCCTAAGCAAGCAAGCACGCAAACTTAATATAAAGGATTTAAAAAAACCCGCTACTGCTGACTTTTGGAGCGCTCCGCCAAAATTAGGCTTCTACTTTCAGGTTGCACCACATGCCGTTGGCATGATGCCTGTCGTTTCGCTCAAGGTGCTGGGAACTTCTCCAGAAAATGCTGGGAGCTGCATGAAGAGGCTATCAAATACCTTAGAGAAGTATGCAGTGTGATATTAGTAAAAAAATCATTTTAATTTACGCTGAGAATGAGTGCCACTTAAAAAGCTGTTTACACATGCAAGTCTGAGTACAATAAATGAAGTATAAATTGGAAAGATCCATACATTATTGAAGTATGTATTACGTACTATTTTAACCTCTCTGCACAATGAAGCATAATTTCACGGACAAAGAGCCACACAGACTTATTTATCTCCATGATTTATATCACACACTATATGCAATTACTTATTTTGTTATCAACATATGCACAAGGTAAGTATATTTCCGAAGAGCTCATTCAGTTGAAAACAAGTTTTCGAAAGCAATTTTACACCGCAATTAATAGTTCGTGCAAGGCCTGAGTAAATCATCAAATCAGGAATCAAAACATTTCATGTGCATGCTGGCAACTCCTTGCAAAGGAAGGCTGTCATTTTTAGATGTAGTAATTATGGGCTTTTTTGATCTGCATGGCTCATTCTCAACCTTTGGTCATGTTCTAATCAAATGCTCATTTGTCCAATAATGTTTAATATTCATGACATGGAGGCTCAGCCATATTAGCGGCATGTTGTAAAAATTATTGCGATCCAGATAAAATAGAATATGATTACAATCATTTTCCAAGCATGGTTGCACATAAGAGCCCCTTTTCATAAAGTCTCAGTAGGTACTTGTCGAATTGAAATTGCATCTCTGTTGGCAACACTTGTCAAAACACTGACAAAGTCATGCCGTCTCATGCTGTGTTACTCCAGAACCGCTTTTTGTTTACTGTCACCAGATGAGTCTCAAAAAAAGACTTACGGCGATGTGCCAGTTAAACATACCCTCGTGTACGCACTTTAAATTTAGACTCGTAAGAGCACATGAGAGAGTTGTAAATGAACATTGAGGGGGAGGAGGACGCTGGTGTCGTAGTTAGCGCACTGCACCATGCATCCTGCAACTTGAATGCACAGCTAACATCAGCGGCGAGTGACATATGAACTGGTCCTGGGCCCCCTACCCTTTCACTCACCTACACTGACCAGTGTGGCGAAGCACGGTCAAACAACCAACCCCATGACCAACACAACATGGGGAGGCCTTCATCCAGCGCTAGACTGACCCATGGCCGATGAGATTGTTGATAATGATTACAATGAAACCAACATCGAATGCTTGTGAGATTAACAGGAGGAGTCGTGAAGATAAAGCGTTCACATTGGCTGGCCATCGAACAAAGACGTAATTTCAGATGCGCTTCTGTGGGCGCCTGGATTGCTCTTCCTTCCGACATTAAGAAGGTACTGGAACGATGCACTTTTAAATATAGATTGAAAAAACTCATTTCTTTAGAACAACTTTTGTGTTTAGTTTGTCATTCCCCGCCAATTAGCACGTACTATTCACATGCCAATTTCAAAACTGGTCATCAGAAAAGTGTGTTATTTATTTAATTCACATCAGGCCCCATGGTGTTAAGCGCAGTCTCCAACCCTTATTAACTTCTCTCTTGCCTCTCTGTTTATGTGCTGTGAATAAGGACCATTGCCTGAGTGTCTCCGATTATATATTTTCTTTAAAGGCCAGTGTTGCTGATGAGTGTGTTGAGTTTTCTGTTCTGCTTGTGCGCCACCGCCAAACGCAGCAGCAGCATCATCAAATAATTTGTTCACCGTGACATTTTTTTCATCAGAAACATCGATGATGACAAAGAATTTGGCGCAACTGAACAGTACACAATAAATACTGGAGAGATGCGTGGTGGGAATTGCACTCAAAGAAAGAAAGAGAAACCACGTGGATCACAGAACAAATGCAAAGTTAAAGAGATTATGTTGACGGTGAAGAAAAGTACATAGCCTTGGGCAGAACACACTGCTGGAGGGATGATGGCCGATGGACGTCTCTGGTGGTGTCAGCCAAAGGAACGCACATAACCGAGAGGACACCCAAAGGGGAGATGGAGCGATTAAGTCAGCTCATTTGTGGAAGTGGGTTGTGTTGTGGCATTGTACGAACTGTCAGATGGCAATGACGCGGTGGAGAGGCGTTTTGTCCAGCAGTGGATTGACAATGGCTGACAGTGATGACTTGCTTT